ACGTCCGTTGTTAGTTGTGCGAGGTGGGTGTTGAGGACGCTGAGGTCGTCGTGCAGTACAGTACTTTGATGAGCCAAATACATCGTCTGATGCTAAAGAAAGTAGTGAGAGTGTTGGTGCAGAGGTGTACAATCCTATATAGTATCGGTTACCTGCAATGACTGCACGGCTGCGTGCTGTTCGCTCAGAAGTTGATGAATGGCTCGCAGTAGTGCTTGGTTCTGATTAAGTAATTCTCGGAGTGAAGTGCGCGAGCTCATCCTTCTAGAATGCGACTATTAGAAATACCCATTTTGAAATTATTTTAGCTTATCTAATTAGTATTAGTATAATGGTATTAGTATAAATAGAGGTTATTATTACAATAATATTGATAATCGTACTAGGACTATACGGGATATCCGTGTAAGTTACGGGCCAATTATCTAAGGGAGGGTTCTTGTTAGTAAGGAAGAGGGGAAAAAGAACATCTGTTTAGTATGAAAGAGTGTTAATGACATTAAAACGAAGGGCAGCGATTGGCGGTAAGCTGGATTAAGTTTTGAGGGAAGGACTGTAGCGTATAGTTTAAAAAAAGGGGAGGGGCTTTATCGTTAATGAAAGTAGCGTGGGATACGGTTTTGTTCGATGATGCCGATAAGGGTGCGTCTCCGCGGACTTCGGAAAGTAGTAAAAGAGTAAATTTTAAATTTGTGAATTATATGTATTCCTGCTAATATGAATGTTGTTTTGCATGTGTGTGATTGCTGTGTATTAATACTATAATTATTATTATGTCAAAGTTCGTTGGTGTGTTCGCTTACTACTAAGCGTGGTGGGAATAATCAACTGTCACCTGTAACGTAATTAATTTATTGATCTAATATTTCTAGTCTTTTCTTATAAAGCTCGGTCTCGCTTGAAAGTGTACGAGGATATAAATATGGTAATAGTGTCTGGGAAAAATTCTATTGTAAGTGAATAATGTAGGTATATACATGGGGAATACCGTGAAATGCTGTCAAATAGTACACGTATATATCTCGTCGTATTCATTGTTCTTAAAGAAAGTCATCATTAGTCTACAAGGTATTTTAGTCTTCTTCCGAAGAGTAGACGCCTTCTTCTTCGCTTGGCCACGAGTCTCCCGATTCGTCCGACGCTAGTGACGGAGGTGGAGTCAATGGCGCGTAGTGATGTAGGAATTGCCGGTGAAACCGGAAGGCCCGATTCGGTGCCATATCAAGGAATAAGAACTGAAATAGTAAATCGTCTTCTTCTGGGAGGTCAGGTTCCTCCCAAGGATTATAGCGAATTTGGTGTTCTCCTCGCGGGGGGTGAAAGTAAGGGTCCTCCAGCCATCGTCTGATTGGATCATCGATGGGCAGAGCCTCCCTTATGGGATGACGTGGTGGTGGAGGAGGAGGAATATTTTCTTGTTCTTCATGGTCGCTGTCGTGCTGAGACGGTGGGCGTGAGACTTCCCTCTCATGGTCAGAGGGTGAAGCAGCAGCCGACCTATCCGACATGTTGAGGTAGACTGGCAGTATAGAGCTTTCATTATTATGTGGGAGGGACCGGGCGGAGACCCGAATCGGAGATAGTTCAGGAGTTCGTCGCGTGTCATATGCTTTTATTATTATGCTCTAATTGTTATTAGTTGTATATGGTGTGACGGTAGAACGGTGACTCCTGAGTGAGTGAACATGAATTGGTGTGGTATTGTATTGTTCATGCGGAAAGACCGTTAGCGGTTGGGAGTGCGCCGCGTCATTGTTTATTCGGAGATTTGGAAGAGGTTTTATATTCGAATTTTACCCGGAGTCTGAGAGTTTTGACCGATAAAGTGGTTTATTACCGCACGATTTTTTTCCTTTCTGTAAAGGTATAATGCGCCTGTAACGCAGAAATGCTATGTAGTGTACAACTACGTTTCATTCTTTGTTCCTCGTAATGTGAGCATGATCGGCTTTCCATCTCGTTTGATTAAAGTGATAGAGCGCAAATGCGGTGATATCAGAGTACGCATGCGCGAGCGTGGTCGCGCCGTGCGTTCTATAAAAGGAGGGATTATAACAGTGGTGGATTGATTTGATTTGTTTTATACATCAAATTAAATCAGTGTGTGGACCTTTTGTGTAGAGCCTTGATATTATGTGGTCCGTAAGGGATGTTAAGGCTAGGGAACTAGGAGTGTATGTGTCCTTAAAAATGTTGTAGGAAATTTAGGAAATGTCGAGTTCAGGGGGTACTAGTAATAGTATAGTATAGATTATCTAGCTATAGTAGTATTAAGAGTAGTGTAGATTAGTGAAGAAATTTTGTAGTGTTGATAGTAGTGTAGAGTATCGTTCATTATGTGCTAGCAGTTATCGAATGTTAGTGAGTCGCGACTGTCAGAGTAAGTTCTGACGGTGTATCTGTTGACGATCGTGTCTTAACCTGTACTGGAGCCTTTTGGAGCTATTCCATCTTATCATTTCAATACTGTGGATCCACTATTTCCATTTCGGCCACATCAAGTGCGCGCATTTACAATTATACGTCAGACTCTGAAATCTATAATAACAACGAACGATCGTCTATGACCCTTATTGGAAGGATCATTTCTGCAACACTGTTGTAGTGTCTGCAGTGGGTACCCATAGAAGTAATACTAATGGCTCCGTATAAAAACAATCTACCATATTCCCGTAGATGATAACATTTACGAAGTTTTTCAGTGTCCATCATGGTTCGAAACAATTTCGTTTCAGGTTGAGTTTCACACACCCAAGCTTAAGGCATACACCTTTGAATTGAAACCCTATACTACTAAACAAATCGCTAACGTCTCATTTGAAATTACTTCATTCACATTTACACCAATCTCACTACTCAACCAACGATTCTTCACAAACAATAACTCAACAGCCTACGTACCACCAGATACGGAATTCAGTTACGCGTGCAGTTCAGATCCACGTCATAATGACATGATCCATGACCAGACCAAACATGCAACTGCAATCCTGCAGAAGACACTGTCAACTGCTATTGTACCAATAACAATGTCTCACGCATAACACAATTGCAGAATACATTTCCCTTACCAATACCGCAAGGACTCATATCCACACAAGGACACAATAACATACCTACTATTACTACACGAGCAGTATCCGTACAATTAATGATTACATTCAATCACACCATAAAAGAAATCACGCAAGAAATCCAAAATTTTCAGTGTAGCATACTACCCCAACGACTATTCGGATGTTATAACTGTGTCAAGGGTTCAGTAGCAACGCTCTTCTGTAAGTCAGATTCCATTCACGCAACTGCTCAAATCAGCTGCGGACACCAACAATTT